AGGAGAGAGGAGCTTTGGAAAAAACATCATGGCAAAGATAAATTGGATAGGAATTCATAGTGTGATGCTGATGTAATGCTGTAATGCATGTTACCTCATGTAAGAACAAGTAAATTTAATTATTTCAGGCCAAACCCTGCATGAATAATTTAGACACCTCTGAAGGCCACCAAATGGTGATCTACATGTCTGCTTCTCCCTGGAATCTATAGGGAACTGAGGCACTTATGAGCAATTTACGCGGAATAGTTCATATCCCTCCTCTTCTCCCCAGGGCTCTGAAAATTTTAAGTCACATTGTAGCTGGCCTTTAATGTGTTCTGCATTGGTTAACCCTCAAACTGAAATGTTCATTTTCAGGCTTGCCAGCTGAAAGAAATGTGTACGGCAGATTTTGTAAGAATGCAATAAAAGGGGTTAATTTTGAAAAACAGATAACAAAACCACATAGAGAAAAAAAAAAAGTTTGAGGAGAAGAAATTACTGTTGCATACATACACATGAGCAATTTTTATAAAAAAAATTAAGAAAGGAATCAAATAGGAATTTTACTAAGCATCATACCAAAATTGTTAGCTTATAGTGAGTTACAAAGAATGTGAATTGGTACTACAACATTTATGCAATTAGAATAAGTTGTTGACAGAGAATTTGGAAGTATTCTTAGGGAATATGCTCTGTGCTATATGTTTGACATACCTCAGGAGTAATTTGGGGGTTATTTAATAGGCCTTAACACAGTACATAATTATAAGAACTCTTGCAAATTTCAATATTCCATGATTCTTTGACTTTAATGGTGATGTCATGTATTATCTTTAGTGCTTTCAGGTAGACAATATGGTTATAATAGCACAGAAAGACAAAGAAGCTTTACTCCCACTGTATCTTGTGGGAAAAATGGTCTTTTGTGTTTTTATGGTACATTATAGAATACAGCTTAGTACTTTTCTCTGCTGAGTTGTAGTAACTAAAAAGCATTGTTTCGCTAGTAAATAATCAGAACCAGAGATAAATCAAATCTGACATCTGCAATGCTGCTGGCTGTTGCTGGGGGTGGAAAAGAAAAATTCTCTGCATTTAGAACAGAAAATCAAATGCACATGAAAGTATCTTGTGTGCAACAGAACACTGATGACAAAATCCAGGGCTTGATTCTAAAGTCAATCCCTCTTAGTCATGTGCTTGATGTAAAGCACATGTTGATTAAGGTCACTGCTTACATGAACTGGGAATTGGGTAGTTGCTCTTAAGAACTGAAAAGCTTTTTTTGTGGTTTTTTTTTCTTTTTTTTTCCCCTTTTCTTTTTCTTTTCCAGAGGATTAGCAAATTCCAGGTAGCAAATAAATCTCAGAACAGTCATAAGCACCAGATAAACATTATTTCAGTGGCTGTCATGATGTGTCAGCATTTGTACCAGGCATCTCATTTGCCATATCAAAATAGTTGCATGTTCCAAATATTGAAAATACTTAAATATCCTTTAAGTATGTATTTTCTCAAAGCTAAAAGAAGTGGCAATATGTGTAAATCAGCAATTTGGTCAAATATCTTTTTCTAAAACCAGTGGTAATCTGTTGCTGGTCTAGAACACAATGTTCAAATTTGAAAAGTGGCAGTTTTGTACTTAAGCGCAAAGGACAAACCTCTCTCCCCCTTTTCCTGGAGTACGTAACACTGCTTGTCAGGTTTAATGCATTGTGGTCAGTGCAGTATCCAGCACTGTCAAAGTCTGGCATGGTTGAGAATTCTTCTTTCTTGAACTGATTTAAATGTATATAGACAGAGAAATGTATGCTCTCAATGAAAGGAGAAAGAAAAGCACAATATACATGGTTACACAGTTTTCTTTAAACAAAAGGCAGGGGTTTCTTTGCATAATCATATTTGTTCCAGAAGTAAAGATATACTCTCGAATGAAGGAAAGATTTTAATGGCCTGTGGAGATTATTTATTTAGCTAAAATCAAGCCTGTTTCTAGAAAACTTTTAGTGCAGCAATAAAAACTTTTGCATTTTGGCCTACTCTAATTTATTCACAGCCTGAAGACCCAGTGCTCACAATTGGTTTTTTTGTTTCACATGAAATCTGAGTAATTGTACCCATCAGTCCAAATGCTGTTGGTTTATTTTAGAAACAATATTTATATCTTGGACTTTGCAGATGCCAGAAGGAACATTTCAGCCATGCTGAATGCCATCTTTTTATTAGGGGGAAGTTCTACCCTGGGGAAGCTGACAGGTTCATATGCAGGAGCTTCTCCTGCCTTGCCTGTCTTGTGTCATGCCAGAATTGGACAGGCAGAACGTGGTCTCATTGTCACCTAACACCTTTAGTGGCCTTCAGGACCCTTCAGACACACTCCTAAAGCACACAGACAGTGATCACCAAAGCCAGCAGACTCACTGACATTAGGGGAGATTTGATCTTATTTAATTAGTTATCTGTATTTTCAAATGCAAAAGTAAGTATGTTCCATCTTCCTTCTTTTTTTTTTTCTTTTTTTTTTTTCCCCCAAACTATTTGATATAATGCAGGGTTAAAAACCTACATTAATTGTGTAAAATTAAACATAGGTGTCTGGAATGCAAGATGTTTTATCTAAGAGTTCTCTACAGAATATATAGATAGAAGGACAAAATTTCTGCACTAAAGCCTTGAAAGAAAAGGAAAAAAGTTCCCCTTAAACTAATTCATAAGGAAAAGTTATATGAGTAAAATGCTATTTTTATATTTGTGTACCAAAGTTTATTTGCCTGGATCAGACACTCTCTTTTTATAATGCCATTAATGGAATATTCATAAAAGATTATTTGCAATGCTTTAGCAAACGTCTTTATGCAATAGATCACTAAAAAAAAAAAAAAAGACTTTATGGATTGCAAAATATACTGAATTGACCCTTGCAGTGACTGGAATGCTTTTTTATCCACAGAACATGGGTGGCAGCAGAGTAATCCCCATCCTACATCCCCCAGCCCCAGCCCCAGCCGTGTGTCTCACCCTTTACCTGGATGCACCACTACGAAGGGTGAGGGAGCTATGGCAGTTTACTCTGCATTCCCATTCACTTGTTGACCTCTTTCCAAAAAACATACTTGCTGATATCTGAGCTACTGAACTCCAAGCTAACGGGAACAGCCAGGTTATTTCTGACAGAATACATTCCACCACTTCATAGGTCTTGGTCTCTATTTGCTTGGGTGGATTTAGAGCAGGAGTGCAAGTTGCAGTCTGGTTGTTTGGTCACCAGAATTATCATTTTCTGGCTGTGGTGAAGCTGACGGGACTTAGTGAAGAGCCATGTTTCATATGCTACAGTTAACATGTAGACTGTAAGGCAAACCATCAAAATATAAAGGACAGTTAAAATTAACAATGCAGATTTTAAACCAGCCTCCCTGTAATGCCTATGGGGTAATTAACTCCTTTTTTAAATTATTGCTCACTGCAAGTGAAGCCAGAATAGCTGGGCTCTTTCTGAATGAAATGCAGGAAGTTACAGCATCCTGTGTTCCTTCATCATTTGCTGTGCTCTGTGGGGAAGGCTTGATCTGGGTGGCGTGGTGAGGACACCGTTTGTACAGGGGACCCACATGAGAAGACAGTGAGTTGTGTGCTTGCAAAAGAACCCCTATGTGAAAGCCTGTGTGAAGGCAAATATTGCTTGGATATTGTCTGAACTTAAGGAATGCAGATCTGAAACAAGATAAGAGTTTACATAGTGGCTTTACCCTTGTTCTGGTGTTGCAGAGGGTTTTTGATTTAAAAGAAAGGGGTTTATGTCATCCTTCTCCTAAGTGAAGGGGGATCAGGAGTATATCTGCAACAGCAACAGCATGCCTGGTATTTGATATTCTTTGGAAATTTTATCGTCTAGCAGTTCCTTTGGATCTTTAGGCTGTTGGCACTTCTAGTGGGACTCAGCAGTTGTTCTGTTAGAGCAGAAATAATGCAGTGGGAGCTTATGGAGCCCTTAAATATAGTCCAGAGGGAAAGTGACAATAATTATAAAAGGTATAGGATGGGTTTATATTATGGGTTTTCTTTCACTGCTTGGGTTGCCAGCTGTGGAGGGAAGCACTGAGCCCTTTCTCTGTCCCCTTTAGATTAGCTGCCACTGCTAAGCAGGAGCAAAATTTGATTTGGAGAGTTTGAAGGTGTTCCAAGCACAGGCAATCCCTTCTAGGCTTTTCTGTAAGAGGAAATGCTCCTGCCTATACTCACAGTTATAAAGTAGTAATCCAGCATCAAGTTTGGATGCAATAGGATGATTTGCAACTGGATGAAAGGAATATTTATTAGAGACAAGGGTTTTACAGTATTTTCTGTTCATTTCAGATCCATGAGCTAGGAATAATTACTGCATACTTTACTTTTTCTTTCCTGCTTATTATGTTAGTGTTTTAAATTTTTTTTTCTGTTCAACTACTACTAATGTTGTTACATGTCTTCTCTTATCAGTCTACACAGAATAAGCTCACTGTGGATGGGAGGCTTATTAGGGTGTATTGAGCAACAAATGAATCTTAATATATTCTTTGCCAGTTCTTATTTTATTTTATTTTATTTTATTTTATTTTATTTTATTTTATTTTATTTAAATTGTATGCATAAAGTACTCTTACTGTAACGCTCAAAATCTTTGTTGTTCCGGGAAGGATTGATACAGCACAAATCCTGTATCCTAAGAATTTTAATTGTAATGCTTGTGAATCTTTAATCATCTTGTTCACCTCAAATAATATTGGAATATATGTACAATTAGTATAATTACATTATCAGAATTATGGAACTGCTTGTGATTAAAGCCTTTTTTTCTGACTGCCCATACTCACACAGACTTGAAGATTCCCTGTGTACTAGTTTGAGAGTTTGGAACAGGTGATAAAATAGGGATGAAAGAGAAAGCTGTGATCTCAGAGGAGATATTAGGCACCAGAAATTATGGTGGTCTTGTTCCAGCTCTTACACTGACTGTGATACTTCCATTTCTATAGCACTTGCCATCTCTGGATCTCAAAGTGGATTATAAAGAATAGTGATTTAAACCTTCCTGCACCTCTAGGAGATAGGTAAGCAATATTATTCCCATTTTACAGATGGAGAAATTGTGATACAGAGAGGCTTAGTGTTTGTTATTTAAAAGTTTATTTATGAACACATGCATGCACACACAGAGAACTGGAAACAGCTGTCAGAACTTTCATTGCTCTCTTTTTTAAGTTGAGTCCATCCTCCTTTCCATTTAACCTCTCTGATTTATATTCCCCATCTGTAAAAAGACGGAAACTGGTATAGACATAGAGAGATTTGCTTGCACACAAATTTCTGTGTAGAACCAGAAAAAAAGCCAAACAAACACAGAGCACAAAAATCCTTGCCTTTAAAATCCAATGCTTTTTATGTGTTGGCAGAGGATATTTTAAGATTAGGTACAAAAATTTTTTGTATGTGGGGAGAGTTGCAGTAGTTCTGCAACTTTAATGCATAATATGTAGTTATTGCTATAAAAGGGCTTGATTTTTTTGTAATATAAGCATGTTAACTGGAGATGAAAAATTTCAAAATGCATCAATTTACTTGGCAAAAGGCCAGATACAGCCAGTAACTCAGTCTCTGCATTATCTGAAAGATGGTGCCAAATCAGTACCACCAAGGCACTGTGTCAGACAGGAGTGGTGCAGTGGTGCTGCATAAAAGCAGTGTTTGCCCCAGCTGTATTTCTCTTTATCTTTCTTCCAGCAAAGTCCTACTGTGTCTGTAGTGCAGCACGAGTTCCTCGGTGGCAGACACTAATCTAGACAACTATGCCTAAATATTTACAAGAGAACTGAAATTGTGACTGAACTTTGGGAAAAAAGTTTTAAAGATACAATATAAGCCTTGTTATTTTTACTACTAATATTGGAATGATTGTTTCTTGTAATATTAAAAAAGATACTTTAAAATATTTCTAGATACTGGATTAATCTGATCATTCACTGCATCATGAAGGCTCTGATGTCATTATTCTTAAAAGCACTGTTTATAAAACATCTTGCAGAAGCTTTTAAAAATTCTTTCTAATTCTGCTACTAATTTGCTACAGAACTGAAACATTGAAAACCTCGTCTATTAGATGTTTTATTTTTAACAACACATCTGGCAATTTTCTCTATGTTGAACAGACAGCTTATGCAGAAATGTTTTTCACATTTTTCTGTGTGCACCCTGTAGCATAGGCAGGCTAGATGAGACAAACATCCAACACCCACAGTAACATTTTCCTGTAAATAATCTAACTTCCCTGTGGTACAGTACCCAGATTTCATGCCTTTACTAGTGAATATATATCTAGGAAATAAGTACGGCTAATGTATATGTTTATGTTAAATGGAACGGAGACTGGATGTGTTTATGTGTCACCACACAAGCATCAACCTGTACATGATTCAAAAATTCATTTGAAAGTTAAGATTCCTTTTTGTTTCAGCTGTAAAACTTCACATAGAGAAGCAGTCTGAATTTCAGGTAGGGATTTAGTTGATGTGGAGCTAAGGTAACACCTGATTTTATCACTATAAGTTTTGCCAGGTAAGGCTGGTGCTGATGCTAATTATAATACTTGAACAAGTGAGTTAGTTCGTTGGTTTAATGTGTGACTGAGTTCAGAATTTAACTTGGGGTCTTCCTAAATGCTGGTACAAATCATTTGTTACTTTTGCTCCCAATTACAGTTAAATTAGCCAGTGTCTTGAGGTAATACAGCTACTGCAGCTGGTGGATTAGGATATGGCTTTGCTAATGCATTGACCTTCTTCATCTGTGTAACATGAGTTAATTTTCAGCCTGACAGTAAATGCTGAAATTTGAATTGTAGCACTAATGCACCATTTTTTCATCTGTCAAACCAGACTGAAGGGTCATTTAGTGATGAGGATAAGGTTCACTTTGAAAGAGAAGGAAAACTAGCTTCTGAATTTTAGGGGGAATTCTAGATCTTGCTTCAAATAACAAGCTGAACTAGGGAAAAATTAGCCTGTGACATTTAAGTAATACTTCACCTGTAAGTCTGCATATTTGCCTTATCCTTACACTGATTCTGTACAGGCGCATTGGAATATTTGCCATGACAAATTAGACAGAATAATAAAACAGCCTATGAAATTTGGTATTCAGGCTATCAAGCCTCAAAAAGAGGCTTTCTCTGAAAAACGTATCAACATTAAACTGTTTGCTATAATGGGAATTTCCAGTGTCAGTTTGTGACAAGTTTTAATTGTTTCTCTACACCCTAAGAAACCCTAAACCTAAGAACTGTTGGAGACTGATTTTTAATTTTTGTTCCTCTCAGAAGTGTCTTTCTTTCTTTCCTGCAGCACGGAAAAGGATATGCTAGTCACTTCTACAGGACTTACCTGAAGCAGCATGATTTGCACAAAAGAAAGTCGACCAACAAAAAGCATCAGCTTTCAACTTCATTATCTTGGCCATCCAGTTCTGTGTAACTGAAGGATTTGTGTGCTGTTGGAGACATCCTGGCCAACAATAGGACCTAACTGCTCTCAGCAGGCCTGAGAAATGAGTTGAAATGTGTAGAACTGTAGAAACTTCAGAGGCAACTGATCTTGCCTCTCTGATCAGTGTGTGCCTGTTTACAGCACTATATATCTTTCTCTCTCCAAAATGTCACTGAGCCCTTTAGATGTTTATATTCACCACAAAAAAGCCAATCGTACAGATAAAAGAGATGTGCATTATAAATGCAATATCACTGTTTTAAACTTGACTGTTTTATATTATTTTTGTGTGATCAAGTGTTCCCCAAACTATTCCAACTTTACAAGAGAGATTGTGATCATGTTCTTTTCACCTGTGGGTCATAAAAATGTTGTTAATCTGAAGACCCACAAAATTATCGAAGACATTTCTGTAGTTTATACACCGTGTTGCAAAGTGTTTACTGTACTATTTCAAAGCTTCTAAATAAATATAAAATATATATATATTATATTATATATAATTTTCCGAAAAACGTGGTACAACTTAGTTGATTTTTAAATGGATTCATACAGTCTACACCATACACTAAAGCAAGAAGATAATTCAGGGTTCCTAAGCTATCCTTGCTAAAAACAAAAATAAAATAAACCTTTAATAGTACTTCCCCAAAATTCATATTTTGGTTGATCCTGTTTTTGTTGTTTAAAAAAAAAAAAAAAAAAGCTGTAAGCAACAGCATTTTGTCTAAAAAGTTGTAAGGATTTTTCAATGCCAAAGATGCAGCTGTCAATATTACCCGAATGAGCGCTATGTACTATCAGAGGTATAAACCACTTTCCATTATTTTGATTATGTTTCTATGGTTTTTAATTTGGAATCACAAAATCTTTTATAAGGCTCTATAAATTCACCTGTATATGTTGTTAAAAAGAACACTGGGTGTCTGTACATTTTGCAATGTAAGATATAATGTAAGTGAAGTTAAGTATTTTAAGAAAATCATCCCAAGCTCATAAATATGTATACATACATACATACATAAATACATACACACACACAAACACCCACACATCTCTCTTTAACATAGTTTTGTGAAACTATACAAATATATTGCCTAAAAATATTTCTCTTGTGGCTAGGAATAGTTGTTGATAGAATTCAAATTACAAAGACAAAGTATATGCCAGGCTCTTTCATCACAAAGGAGATTTCCAATTAGGAACATGGCACATTCTCAGCTGACCCCTGTCCCGTGGGAGTTAAAATGGTGTTGGCCACCATCTTTGTTGGGAAAAGGATTAAGCCCTTGCATATAATCTTTATGTTCTGTAATAATTCTGTGGTCTGAAACAGTATCTTAGAGCGTTTCTTTTCTATGAAATATTGAAAAAAGTAAAATTTCGAAGGTAAAGTTTAAATCTACTTTCATGTCCATGGAGTTTAAGTACCATTTACTAAATGTAAAAATCTAGTAAAATTTTTTTTTTTTTTTGTGCTGTGATTTTTTTTTTCCCTCACTGTACCTTAATACATCAAATAATGAAAGCAAATGAGAGCACACCTTGTTGTCAGCCAATGCCTAGCCAAATTCAAACCAGTTCCTATGGATGATTCAATATTAAGTAAAACGAGAGCAAATGTTTCATTGATTGCAGTGGGATTTGGATCATGCCATTATATAGGAATTCTCTTGTCCCCACCAATGCTGCCATGGGATGAATGTGTGAGAGGTTACTGCCATGTCATAATAGAATTTGGGTTTCTTATTTTTTTGTTTGTTGGTTCTGGGTTTGGTTTTTTTGTTTTTTTTTTTTTTTTTTTTGTTTTTTTTTTTTTTTTTTTTTTTTTTGTTCTCTGTAATGGCATTTTCTATTAGATAGGAGTATATAAATCACCTGTATGAAAACCATCTTACTGTGGATCCAAACATACACAGAAAATCCAACATTCCTGATCAAATTCCACGAGTTCTTTGAACAACTAGTGGACTGGGCCCTGCTGTTGTTAATATTCCAAACAAAATAATATACTCATACTTTAATGTGCACATCTAGCACATTTGTATAACGACAAATTGTTTCATTAAATCCTTTTAAAAATGTGTGTTATACAAAACCTAATTCAAAAATCCCCCAAACAACTTTAATAGCTATTGATTCGAGCAAATACAACAGTGAAATGTTCCTCCTGCTCTAGGTAGCAGACATTTTAGTTGCCTACAGGCTTCATTTATTTTATGAAGAAAAACAATGGAATTTGTGAAAAATATTTCATTTAAAGGAGATTGCTAGATTCTTGTTATGGATTTTAAAGAAAGAAAGTCCTTGCCATTCTGAAACCTGTTTCTAAGTAAGTTTTTAATACAAACATATATTGTAATTTATGGTTGTTTTTTGGTCTTTGGGAGGAAAAGGAAATTGTTTTACTTTCTATTTCATGGGTAGCCAAAGTGTTTCTATTTAATGAAACTCTCTTCACATTTTGCATGCCATTTTTTTTCTGAAAAAATTACTAACCATATCATGTTCTGTCATTAATTTCCAAAACTGAACTCTTTCCATCAAGTATGATATGCATACAGATTTATTGATCTTTTTTATTCTTATTTAATGTTAAATACCATTGGCATTGGTCCATATTTATGCAGAAATCCTTCTGAGTTCACTGGGAGAGTCCTAGAAGGAATCACGGTAGGATGCAGAAGTGTCAAGGAAAAGGAAGAATTGAAGTACTACAGCCCGAGCTCTCGAGATGAAGCTGTAGCTTCTGCTGATTTCCCTTGCTCACTGTGAGTTTTGGTGCACTAATATTTGCGGGCACAAGCCTTGGGACACATTAAAACCCAGTACATAGCTGCTGTCCCAAGAGAAGGGCAAACTGGGCAGTGCAGAGGCTCAGTTTGTCCTGTTTCTCTGTTTTAGTGGGCAGCTGGCCACCTCCCTTTGAAATTGCCTTGTTCAGCATCTCCCAAGTATTCCATCACACTGCTGGGTGCAGGGACAGGTCTGTAAATGCCTTCACGCCTCTCTCAGTGTGTGTGCCTCTTCCTCTGAGCACCGGTGATGCAAATACTGAAGGACTCTCATTTGCATATTGGACCCAACTGTGAACTGAAAGTAATCAGGAAATATTTAGGTTGAATATTAAGGGAAAAGATTCATGCCCATAAATCTGAGATGAGGAAGGTTTTGGAATCTCCTTCATTGTAGGTTTTCAAGGGCAGTGCAAAAAACACCTGTAAGGGATGATGTAAGTGTACTTAAACTTGCCTCAGAGAAAAAGCACAGAGAAGGCTCTCAGTGCTGTTGTTCTGTAATGTTCCTAGTGGGGCATGCTGAGCTTTGGAGGAGTTAATCTGTGCACAGTTGTAGGGATAAGAATGTTCTATCCTTCAATTAGTTATTTGAAGCAATATTTAATGTTTCAATTTACTATTTATGAGCATAATAGGACAAGCTGCCTGTGAGAATAACTTTCTTTGTAGTAAATTAGAGTTCAAGCAGAGAAGACAGGGTCTTATAAAAGATAACAATATGGAATCAGGTCTGTGAAACTTTTTTATTTTTTAAATTCCTGATTTAGATATGTAGCAATAGATTTCTAGGCAGCTTGCCTTTTAATATTCTTCAAAATCAGACTTTAGTTTCTTCCAAAACTTAGGAATACTAAAACATTTCACTACTTGAAATAGAATTCCAATTTTTTAAAGCACATTTTTGCTAACATGCCTATTGAGGGAAAGTATTTCCATGAACATATTCTCAAATTACTGGAACAAAGTGTAGTAATTTTTCATTAGTGTTGTTGCAAAATCAGGTGAAATAAAAATACACAGATAAATACAATTTGTAAAGATTCCTGCATTATAGCCTCTAAATAGTTGTGGGGGAGATACGTGTGTGTGTGTGTGTGTGTGTGTGTAACTATAGTTAAAATTCTGGAAGGTTGCCATGGGATTTTTTCTTACAACTCCTATCAGTAAATGTAAACAAAAGGGTAGAAACACATGTTAGGGTACTATAAAACTAGACTTGTTCCTTAGTGTAGAATGGAGTTTTGCATTCAATAATTAAATTCAGCCCCTTCTTCATGTGTTGTACCCACAATCAAGCACACAAGTCTTTTTTTTTTTTTTAACTTCCAAAATATTACCTGCTCATAGAAGGGTTTTGTTTTTTCATTCTTTTTTAAAGTAATATCATTCCTCAGGGTAAAGGGTGGATAAATAGATAGTCTTCCTAGGCTGATAAATTGCAATTGCAATTTTGCAAGGCTGTTAAATATTTGTATGTCTTACCTGGAGAAAGCCGATCATAACCTGCCACTGCTCTATGTTCTAGTATCGAGTTTTTATGACATTTGGACTTGTGAATTAAAACCTATACAAAGGTGTAGGGGCCAAAATAAACATCTTTGATATGCATTTAGTTATTGCAATTTGATTGCAAAAAATCGGCATCAGATGTCTATAAAGGGTAGAAAGTTGTTTATTCTATTCTGTTTGCAGTAATATAAAAGACAGCCAGTAGGACTTTATTATAATATTGTGCTATGACAAATTCTGAAACTGTGAGTCAAATCCTTTGCACTGATCCCTACAATCATAGATCAAATTCTTCTTAAAGAGCTCCTTCATTTTATTTTGTCTCTAAGAAATGGATACATATATATATATATATATATATAAACAAATATACACAGCCATTACAATCCATTGTTGAGCATCTGTGTTTTTGTAGATATCCTCATATGTAAGAAATAAGCAAGAACTAACTTGGACAGGTTTCTTGAACTGAAATTGTTTTTGAATTTGAATTTGTTAATAAAGTTCATGATATTGACAGACATCAAGAAAAATGAAATCTCTGTGGGTGTAGCTCTCCAGAAGGCAAACGCTTCACTTAGGAAGCATCCTGTCAAAAAACTGTATAAATGCAACTGCTGGAAATCTTGCTGAGTCAAGATGAAAGATGCTGTGCTAAAGCTTTCTTGTTCACTGTGTCAGCACTGATTAAAGTGTTCTCTGGATGGTAACCACTTTAGGCAAACAGAAGATATCAAAAATTGCAAGCAGGATTCATATAATGTTTACCATTCCTGTGGAAGAGAGACTCGGACAAACAGGTGAATATATACTGAAATACTGATCTATAACATACAATATGGAAAAAACAGTGAAGTCAAACATTTAAGAAAAGAGAATGCTTTCAAGTACATACACTTCAAAGATTAAAGTTCATCTGATGCTCAACTTTAAG